GTGGCGGGATCGCTTTATAAGATCAAAGTGCAGATCGGTGAGAGCAATTGTCCAAAAGGGACTCCAGGGCTCGAGTCTTGTCTGTTGGTGGATGACAGTGTTCCTAAAGACTGCTTGATCAACGTGTGGTCTAAACCCTGGGAGAACTTTGAAGAAATCACAGTGACGTGCGAGCCTGCCCGCAGAAAAAGAGCCTTGAAGGGCGCCAACTACTCCCAGAAGATGCTGCGCATTTCGAAGCCGCTGGAGGATGAGAGAAAATTCACCAATTTCCAGAAAAAATACAATAAAATCTACTCCTCCGAAGAAGAACGTGCAGTGAGATTCAGGATATTCCAGGAGAACATGCAGATAGCTCAGAATCTTCAGGAGTACGAGCAGGGCACAGCTGTCTATGGGCCTACGATATTCGCTGATTTAACTCCTAACGAATTTAGGACAAAGCACCTGGGGTACCGTCCAGACTTGAAAAATGAAAATAACATTCCCCTGGCTAAAGCAACAATTCCAAACATCGAATTACCATTGGAATTCGACTGGCGACACTACAATGTCGTGACTGAAGTGAAGAATCAGGGCTCATGTGGCTCCTGCTGGGCATTCTCTGTTACTGGAAACGTCGAAGGACAGTACGCGATAAAACACAAAAAATTATTATCGCTGTCCGAGCAGGAGCTTGTGGACTGTGATAAATTGGACGAGGGATGCAACGGGGGACTTCAGGAGAATGCATATCGGGCTCTTGAGGAGTTGGGAGGACTGGAGCTGGAGAATGATTATCCTTACGACGGGGAGGACGAGAAATGCCACTTCTTGGAGAAAAAGGCTGCGGTGAAGGTCGTGTCAGCTGTCAATATCACCTCCAATGAGACAGAGATGGCACAATGGCTCGTCCAGAATGGACCAATGGCCATTGGAATTAATGCTAATGCTATGCAGTTCTACATGGGAGGGATATCCCATCCCTTCAGATTACTGTGCGATCCTGGTAGTCTAGATCATGGGGTTCTCATCGTGGGATACGGTATCCACGAGTATCCTCTGTTTAATAAAACCATACCTTACTGGATCGTGAAAAACAGCTGGGGAAAGAGGTGGGGCGAGCAGGGATATTACAGGATTTATAGAGGCGATGGATCCTGTGGAGTCAATGCTGATGTCTCCAGTGCTATTGTTGCATAGGGGCTGCGATTTTTCAATAATTTTTTATTTTTTTAATGGATATTTTAGGAGCCAAATGGTCGAGTTTAATGCGCATTGGAATTGCTTCTAAAATTTATAGTAGTTATCAATTTATCTCGGAAATGGTTAGTTTAAAGAGGAAACGCTGAGGAACTTTTGTGTCGGCGATTAAAGAGGCCATAAAAACGGTCTTTATGTGTTTACTCGGTAGAGCTAATCGTTTTCTAGATAATGTGGAATTTAATGGAATCGTAAAACATGAATTATCTGACTTTACCAATTGGCTACTGATTGACAATTTTTGAGATTTCTCAACATTTTATATCTTATTTACAATCTAAATACTTAGTTATAAAGATTTATTTATTTTCGTGCCAAAGAATGTCGTGGGGTTATCAGTATCTTTTTAATTTCGAATGTGATTTTTTGTGGACTTGAAATACGACCATTCTGGGCAGTTTTATTATTTACTAACTGAAGTAGGATATATTTTTGACTGTTGTACTCAATAAAGGAGACGATGATTATTAAAATAGCAGTTTTGTGTCTTAATTAAATGAGAGAATGTTTATGCAGTGAATCTCTAAAATATTTATTAGCAGATTCGTGGTACATTGTACAACTAGACAGAGAATCACTAATTTCAAAGTTAATGAATTGATATTCAAGTAAAATGGTGAATGGATGAAATAAATCGTAACTTATCACACGTTAAATGATAATCATACGGTTGGAATCGAGTGAAGAATATCTGAAAAGTAATTAAATGTTTTTTTTTTTTCGTTCTGCTCTCATCATTAAGCGTTCAATGTAAAAGCACGAGCCGCGTGTCAATGTCGATGAAATATTTCGACTGTAACTCGATTGAATCACTGACAGTGATTTGTAAAATGTTCATTCATGTGCAACGGTTTTAGACACAAATTAGTAATAATTATACGAGCTCCATTGATTGTAGGGTCCATATGCTTGTGGACCACTCTGGCTGTACTGCCAATTCTGGTAATTAGCGTAATTAGGATCTGATGGGGGTGGATACTGTTGGTAACTCTGTTGATATCCACTCTGACTGCCATACTGGCCACTTTGGAACTGCTGTTGTGATTGATAGGGACCACTAGCTGAACTGCTATACTGATAACTCGATTGGGAACTCGCTGTTGGTGGAGGTGGTACACTCGATGTATCCGAGGTCTTTCCCTTCTTCGGTGGTGATGAATCACTGAAACCCAAAATTGAGAAAACAAAACATTGACTTCCAAATTTTTACAAAAATTCCAATTGCTCCACTTGTCGAAATACTCACACTTTATTATCCTCATTCTTCGATTTCTTTCTCTCCTTCGCCTGCTTGATGCACTTCTGGAACTGTTCGTGTGCCTTGAGCACTTGTTTTATGTCCGCACTGAAATCCTCGAGGAACTCCACCTTCCTCTGAGCGAAGAGTACTCTCTGCTCTAGGTCAGCGTGCTCTCTCTCAATGAACAGGTCCATGTATCCCACGACCTCTTGTGTATCGACAGGATTTCTCTGTAACCCGAGATCGATCAGCTGTAGATACAGCCTGGGATTATCCTTGTCTTTTTCGGTGGCCTTGAGCAGGACTTTGACAGCTTTATCAATGTCATTTTTACACTTGCATAGGAATCTTGCGTATTTGACAGCAATATTATTGGCAATTGTTCGATTTTTACTGTTTGTTATGTAACTCTCGTAGAGGACGCAGGATTTGTCGAGATCCCCTCGTCGTCTCTCCAGGTTGATTCTTCTATATGCAACCTGGAGCAGATTTGGCATGACGGTGTCGATATTCTCGAGAATCTCAGCAGCTTTGTCAAAATTACCCTGGCCCTCCTCGAAGGTCGCCCACTGTAGATGAAGATTTGGTTTCTTAGGGTGATGGACTGTGCAGGCTCTCGAGTAGACGTCACGAATTTTCTCAGCATTATCTCCAGTCAGGGATTCCAAATACCTTACAAATCTCAACCAAAATTCATCGTAGAGAGCACAAGCTATCAGACAACGCTCAAAAAGAATAATTATTCTGTCCTGATCCTTCTGCTCGATCTCAAAGTCCAGATACTCTTTCCAATTCTTCAACTGGCATCTCTCCAATGGTTTAACGTGGAAATAAGGGCGTTTTATTCCCTCCTCGTAAGTTCTTCTAGCAGCAACAGCGTTTGCATTTGCCTTGTGCATCTTGCGCCTGCTGCTCATAATTTTCTCTCGTATTACTCGTGTCTCTTCGTCCGTTGGTGGAATCTCGTGGGCTGCTGGCTCCTCACCTGGTGGTACGTCATCTGTTGGGGGTGCTCCTGGGGTCTCGTCTGACTTGAGTAGGACTTTTACCTCTGCTCGCATCGTCAGGAAGTCGTCCACTGTTAGAATGCGCTGGGGGGGATTGGCAGAGACAAATTCTTGGAACGATTGAAAATTCTTCATATAGCCGAATGTTGGAGTTGACAGGAGGCGATCGTAAAGGGCTGTCACTCTGCTCAGACGTTTTCCCTCTTGTTCCCATTTGATGTAGCTCTCCCAGAGACCGTCAGATCTTCGGAATAATTTCATTTTCATATTTTAATCGGCAAATTCACGATGGGGAAAATTTTTTTAATCAACTCTCATCACCTGAATTCCAAACCACATGCCTGAATGGCCCTTTCATACTGCTCTCTCATCTTGGCCTCGTCCTTCTCATGTACACTCTTACAATGATTGATGTAATGGAGCCACAAGTCGACACTGAGCGAAATAGCATTCAATCCTTGATCGAAAACCTGTGATTTTAATAATGATTAATAACTAATCACTAACAAATGGAGCCTGAATTAAGCCAATCGCAATGACAATTGGCCACTGGTACCTAAATTAGCTCTCGTAAGCATATTGTGCCTCATCTCTTAAATGTATATTTCTTATATCATGTTGTTTCTTATTCTTAATTCTTAATACTCACATTAAAAAGTCACGCAACTGTAAATAAATTAATTGAAATAGTTAACACAGAGATTGCTGAGCAATAGTGCATTCACCTGTAGAGATTCAGGGAGTGATTCCTTATTCGAGGGTGCCTCTGTCTCTTCACACAGCCCATTATTGCCCTTGGAGACCGGTTCAACGGCAACGTATGCGTGTCCTAAGTACCTCGACTCAATATTTTTCTCTTTTTCCCAATATTTTCGTTTTTTTAAACTCAATATTATTTTTTTTTTTACAACGCCACGTGATAAACCGTTTCACACAGGATTCATATCGTAAGAAAATACTTAATATCTTTCTTAATAAAAAACATTATATTACAATACTTTGCGCAGCTGGCTACGTGTACAAAATGCTTACAGTAATTAAATAACAAACACCACACAATAATTAAGATCGCCACGAATAATAAATTCGATTGGTGTAAATATCATATTTTTTTTTGTCAAACAAAACAAAGCTCTTACGTATTTCAATTATAAAATATATACGATTATAACGATATGGTAATTTCATTCAATACTTTGATGGTAATTTTCTAATACGAGAGATCAATAAGTCCCATATAAAATGGGATTTAGTATTTTATCTAATTGATAAAACGAAGAGAGTTGTATGGGTGCCACAAGACGTGCTAGGCTGTTGGAAGGGAATACCATATTTACGTGCGTGCACACTGCCCACGCGTCTTCCTAACTCGAGCTATTTTTCAGTAGATTTGCGTTAATTAATTTTATAATTATTATAGATTTGTTGAAAAAAAAAATTCTTTGAGGTTACCATATAATCATATATATAGATTTATTTTTAAGGTATTATGGGGCATTATTGATTCACTCACCTTTTGTACGTTGTCCGGATTTCCCTTCTTCTTCTCATAATCGGCGTATTTTCGCCAGTAGCCGTAGCAATAGGGATAACGTTCAAGGAATTTTTCGTACGCTTCACGTGCGGCTTCCGCATCATTCTGCGATATTCATCGATGATTATCATTAATATTTGGTATTAGTATTAATTTTAATGAGTACTCACCTCTTGATCAACATACTGCAGTAGATATGTCCATCCAGTAAAATCGGAGGGATCCTCATTAACGGCTTTCCAATATTTATCGAGCTCTGGTAGAGTCTTTTTTTTAGGAGAGGCTGGTTTGACCTCTGGTTTATCATCAGCCTCTGCCTCCACTTCCAGAGCCACTTTCTTGGCGGGTGTCTCTTCATTTGTTTCTGAGGTTGGTGAATTGGGATCGTACTCTCCCTCTGCATTCAATTTACGTTTAGCTCCAGTGTCTGCTTTGACTTTTCTCTCCGCTGATTTGGCAGCTGTTTTAGCGGCCTTTCGTTTTTTCTCGCTATCTGGGGGCAATTCGTCTTCAGAGACCGATTCAGTCTCACCGAGATCAGCTGGAGCTGCTGCTGGCAGCTCCTCGTCCGACACTGCCTCGGTTTCTGGCTCCTGTTGCATCGAAATCATTTTCACCATTGATTCATTAGCTAGTGGATTTTAATATTGAGGATAAGGAAATGGGGAACTTGCTTCTAGGAGTTTAGGTAATTCGAGGACAAAGTCATTGGGGATAAATTCATCATCGGAGATATCTTCCACATCGTATATATACTACATTCGAAAAAAGGAAAGGATTTTATTTAGAGGAGTATGATCTTCCATTGATGAACTGATAATTGTTATTACGTACCTTGGCTGGAGTCTCTGTGGGGAACTCATCCTCAGAGACAGCTTCAGTATCAGGTTCACTCTTCTTTATTTCCCCCTCGCCCTCTCCAGTATTTTCGTCAGACTTCGTTTCCCCCTCGACAGTAGATACTTCCTCAGCGACAATTTTCTCGAACGAATCGTCCACAATATCATCAACCGCATCAGCAATTTGCTGTGCAGATGCCTCGACCTCCATAGACTCGCTAATTTCCTTGGCCTCGCCCCCAGTTTCTTCATTCAACAGGGGAATTTCTGCTGAGGCTATCGTCTCCATGACGTCCCCAAAGTCCATAATCTGATTTGAATCGGTATTACCACCGTTTATTGCCTCCTCCACGGTGTCAGGATCAGTCTGCAGTATTTGTTGTATACTGTCCTCCTCCAGGGTGATGACTCTGTCCTCAGGACCTTCTACCACCTGGGATATCTCTTTTATCTTCAGGGTAGATAGAATTGGTGTTGTAGGGGTGGCTGTGGTTACCACTGGTGGAGGTGGAGCTTCTAGTTCAGGTACTCCCTGAATATCTTGTTCCATCTGAACATTTTGTACGTTATCCAAATTTTCTGCTGTCTGAGACTCCTCTTGTTCTACCTGAAGGGCTGGCACCTCCTCCTCAAAATTCTCCACCATTTGCCCAGTCAATTGTTGCATACCATTCTCACCAGTTTCACTGCTCTCGTCAGTTTCTTCTACAATCGTTGGGTTATTCTCCTGTCCAACAAGACAACTCTCAATTCATTTGAACAATTACCTGATTTGGATGAAAATTTCAATGAAAATTTCAATGAAAATTTCAATGAAAATTTCTCCCAAAATTAAATTCAATATTAATCACGTGGAAGTAAATCTGTCAGCAGTCCACGAGAGAAATTCAATGTCTTCGAAGTACAAAGTCTAAACTTTCAAACAAAAAAAAAGAAACTCACGTCAGTATTGTCAATTTCCTGAGCCCCCCGTCTGGTACCTCTTCCTCGAGCTGTTTTCTTGGCGGGTGTTTTTTTCGGCGTTGCCACTGGTGCTTTAAGTGCACGTCCTGATCTCGTTCTCCTCACTTAAAAACAACCGCACAATTATATCCCATGAAAAATGGCAAAAAAACCAATTACAACATCATTTTTAACACCAATAAAATGACCTATAGCGACGATATTAATGGCGGTTATTTATCGTGACCTCGTGATAATGCCTGTTACACGCAATGCCGGGTAACTAATATCCAAACTAGGAGAAAACGCATTCCCATGCTAAAAAAACTGTTGAATAATTAAATAAATTTCAATAACGCAATATAAATAATCATCGATGATGATTAGTGGATTGTTTGATATCCTTGGAAACGGTGTAAATACCTGGCTCGTTATCCTCGATTTGATTCTCATCGCCACTCAAAGAAGACATAATCGTTCTTTGCTATTATCCCCCACTCTCAGGGCTTGCGATAAGACGAGTACTCAATAATTTTCAGCAAAACCTTACGCTCAACTCGAGGAAATGTGATAGTATATCACTCGGTGTATAATTTATCCGATGGTAACGTGAAAATAAATGCCTGGTGACGCGGTTATGATTGTAGTTTTTTTTTTCTCTCTCTCTTCACAAATTTTTTTTCGGACGGCTTATAATCCCGCAAGACTGCGCTGCACTGCGTCATGAAGTTATTTTATATCGATTCATATCGAAGCCATGGGTGAAGTTAGGAAGGGGCGGTAAATTTGGCGGTAAATTTAAAAAAAAAATTTGAGTGTCAGGTTTTGCAGTAAATTAATAAATTCGTTGGAATTAGGGATTGAAATTTGATTTTATCGTTGGGTGGGGCAATAGTGATAAATTTCTCGACATTTTTCAAATAAAATCATTCGAAAAAATTGATACTACAGAGGGTAACAAGAGTCCCTGCCTTCCCAACCCTTCAGTCAGTCCAAAATATCAGAATGATCAGAATGTTATTATAAATATAACCTCAAATTCCGTGAGTTCTTCATTAATTGATTGCCTGTTTTAAAGTCTAATTAGTCCCAGGAAAGTTAAGAAAAATCAATCGAAACTCGTATTCTAGGGGCCGTCGACCCCCAGAGCTTCCGCCCAAGGTAAAAACCTCTCTTCTCCACGCGATTTATAAACACAATAGAAAAAAGGATGTAGGAAAAATTGAAGTTGAAATTCCTGGGTGTCGTGTTCCCTTTGAAGTTCCCCCAGACGTGCAAAACCTCGTTGACATTATCCTCGACATTCTCCAGGGTTTTGGGTGGGAGTTTGTAATCCCTTCGGAGTCTAGTGCGCAGAGTTGTCAAAGTAATCACTTGAGGATCTCTCGAGTTTTTGCAATTGCGCACTGGTATTTAACCATCGCAATGCCTGTGGTATTTTCATGGGGTTACAAACACAATCGATATCCCTGCGTGTTGGTATTTTCCAAGGGGAAAACACGGCAGTACGACAGTGAAACCCAAACAGTGAAGACCTGATTATTTTACGTCAATCAAATTATTCCTAATTTCGTGTGTGCTAATAGACTCGTCCTGAGTCATTTATAATTCCTCGGAATTATTTCTGTCGTCCTGGATCTTTTAGAGATCGAGAAGATGTTGATTAGGTCGAGATTATTTTTTTTTACAGGATTTTTACCCTGAGAGACAATTTTTTATGGTAATGAGAGTCTGATTTCCAAATTGAAGTGATTTTCTGGGGTAATTTGGGGGATATAAATTGTTGGACTCGTCCAGGTCCTTCGATTGTCCTCCCATCGGGTCCTCGGGCCATGTGGAGGGTCATAAAAATAAGTTCAAGTGTTGAAATAATTTTGGTGGGTTTTTCTCGGGCTGATAGGGGGTTTGGTGGATTGGGAGATGTCTTACAATGATGGCGGTCGTTCTGTACGTAAATCAGGGCAGAAAACGCCGAAAAATTTGCGTGTGACGTCTAGTGAAAACGGAGGAAGGGCTGTAACAACGATAAATACGTACAGTGGACAGAGAAACATTGTGGATGGGCCAGATCCATCTGTGCACAAGAGAAATCTCTACGTTGTTTCGTTTCCCCTTATTCTACTCTTCAATGTCCTGAGAACACTTCTCTACCAGTTGTTTATTGTTTTCAAATATATTTATGCATCGACGAATCGTCTGATTCAGAGGAGGCACGCAGCTGCTGCTGCCAGGGGTCAGTGTCATCTGGAAATTGTTGTGGGAAGCGAGAGGGAATTGAAAGAGGATATATTGGTTGTTGGCAAGGAGGAGATGGCCCATTTGCCAAGGAGGACTGGTCCTGGACCTGCTGATCCTCTTTTGGCCAAGCAGAAGCATCATCACAGGAGGGCTTTTGAATTTATCAGCAAAGCTCTGAAGATTGATGAGGAGAATGAAGGTTTGGCATTGATTTCCAAACAAGCAATGAAATTTTTGTATTGAACTTTTTTATTGAGCTCATTCAGAGCTGTAAAAAGGATCTTTACAGAAATTTCACTCTCTCATTCTGATTATCTCCTTTTTCTACGAATTAGGACACAAAGAGATGGCCATAGAACTTTACAAAAAAGGTATTGGCGAGCTGGAGAAGGGAGTTGCTGTGGAGTGTTATGGAGGTCGTGGAGAAGTGTACGAACGTGCTCAGAGGCTCAATGAAAAAATGAGAGCGAATCTCGTTATGGCCAAAGACAGACTCGACTTTTTGGGTACTATTTTTCCCTCGTTATCCATTAATTGTCGTACTCGTCGTATTTATTTTCCTTTTTTTTTTTTTAAATAAGCATGGCAATTATCGTTATTTTTTTTCAATTATTTTTCCTTAGCAAGTGTTTGTGCACTGAAAAAACTGGAAGTTAGAGGGGAAACACAGGCTGAAGGGACTCCTCATGAAACTTCTAATTATCATGGAATTAATCACACGAGACTGAGAAAAAATATTAAAAATCAATCACGTTTTGATCCACTGACTGACGTTAACAGTAGGGAAAATAAAATACATACGACACAAAGTACACAGACACATGTGAGACCTATGGAGAGGCCAGGGAAATATACCTCGCGATCCTCTGAAGGTACAGTACTTCTCGTCAAGATAAATTCAAGATAAGACTCTACAAAAATTGCACAGAACCAATTCATTTAGTCCAAGACACTCTTCAACAGTGAGGGAACACTTGCTATTCTTCATTCTATAGTAGGAATATAAACAAAATTTAATCTACCATCAAGTGAATAAAAAAATCTGTAAATATATACATATATATGTATAATTAGAATGACGGAATCATTAAAGAGCTAGTCCAATATTTGATACACTTAAAAATTTTAATTATTCATCTATATACATATATATCTATATAATTTGTTTCATATTAATATTTGAGTTTGTTTATTTTTTCCAATTTTTACACATTTGCTATTCAAATTACTGCGATTTTTTAAATTAATACAATTTCAATAATTCTAATCACTCATCTCTAATTTAAACGTTGGAAATACCTCCCCGCGATTGAGGCTCTAACTTGAAACTATTTTCTCACAGCCTCAGGGCGAAAATTGATCCCTGGGAAACGGCACGCAGGTGCGACAATAACGAAGAGTCAGACACTTCCCAGAAGCATGGGTCGTTCTCCAGCTCTTCCCTGCCACAGAACAGCGCCATTGAAACCATCCTCGACGCCTCCATCAATCCGTCGCCAGCTGTCAATTCCTGGCTCGTCCTCACCGATCCGCAGACCAGGAACTCCAGGTGCCACGTCCTCTGCCAGAGGAACACCTAGAAAAGTGCCTCTACTGAAAGGAGTGGATCCAAAACTGGCACAGGTTATTCTCGATGAAATCCTGGAGGGTAGTGCAGCAGTCCAGTGGGAGGACATAGCTGGTCAGGAAGTGGCTAAACAGGCACTCCAGGAAATGGTGATTCTTCCCTCGTTGAGACCAGAATTATTCACAGGCCTACGAACACCAGCTCGAGGATTATTGCTGTTTGGTCCCCCAGGAAATGGAAAGACTCTTCTAGCCAGGGCTGTTGCCACTCAGTGCAACGCCACCTTCTTCAGCATATCAGCAGCGAGTTTAACCTCCAAGTACGTGGGTGAGGGTGAAAAACTCGTGAGGGCACTTTTTGCTATTGCCAGAGAGCTCCAGCCCTCTGTTATTTTTATCGACGAAGTGGATTCTCTGTTGAGCGAGAGGAGGGATAACGAGCACGAGGCATCCAGGAGACTGAAGACTGAGTTCCTGGTGGAGTTTGATGGACTGCCATGTAGTCCTGACGAGAGGATCCTCGTCATGGCTGCCACCAACAGACCTCAAGAGCTCGACGAAGCCGCCCTCAGGAGATTCAGCAAAAGGGTTTACGTCACTCTGCCTGATTTAGAGACCAGAGTTGTGCTCATAAAACGACTCCTGGGAAAACACAGCGATCCACTGAGTGACGAGGAACTCCAGGAAGTCGCTGGTCTCACTGAAGGCTATTCTGGCAGTGATCTCACTGGGTTGGCTAAGGATGCTGCCCTTGGACCCATCAGGGAACTCAATCCAGAACAGGTCAAGGCACTTGATCTTAATCTTGTGAGGAATATCACTATGAAGGATTTTTTAGACTCTTTAAAGAGAATCAGGAGGTCAGTCTCTCCTATGAGTCTTGCTGGGTACGAAAAATGGAGCCTCGAGTATGGAGACGTCAGTCTCTGATTCATGAAGGGCCCTTTCAAGGGCCCATGGGTAGCCTCTGTTGAGGTTTAGATGGGGTCAATCAGATAAAATGAGAGATCAGAAAAATTCAATTTGGAAAACAGAATTTTCGATTTTTGAAAATCCTTGGTCGATTTTAAATGCATGTCCAGGGAAATTGGGGGGTGTTAATATTTTTTGGCTTTTCCGACAACGAAAGAATGGCTGACGGGTAGGAAATTATTTATTCGAATTTTCGATGTTAATTCTGTGGTTTTTTTTCGCATTGTTTTCCTCTCGGGGAGATTCAGTAGGGAAGTTGAATTAAAAATTGTTTATTAATTATTGATTATCTCGATAACTATCCATTTAAAGAGGAAACATTAAAAGGCTTTTTTACAGCTGAATAAATTTCTAATGAAAAATGTTTTTTGATATTTCACTCTGAGGTTAATTGTTTTTGAGATAAATCGATATTCAGCAAGATTTATTTTACTTTACCACTTTGCTACTAAATTCAGGAGCGATATTTTTCGTGGGATTATCCGATTGAGATTAATTGTGTTTACCTAGTGAATTCGTTGTTCCAATCGTTTCGGTATGCGCGGTATGTGAGGGATTTCCATTTCTCAATAAACGAGGGAATTTATCATTTGTAATTGGGTGGATTAAGGAGGTAATCTCCTTAGTCAACTTTGTTACAGACAATCTTTGAATATAATATTGTAATTGTACGTCAGCATTCAAATTCAATTACTCAAGTGACACTTGACAGATTGTGAATGTGATATTTTAAACGAAGATAATGTTAATCAATTGATTATTCCAATTAGTAGTCGCTATTATTGCTATGCAACATGAAAATGAGTACAAAATGCAAGGCTGTAACATAAAGAGTTAAATTTTTTTGGTTTTGAATATTTTTTTTTTTTTGTTGATTCGATGCTTCGTATTTTGATTGTTGAGGCCATTGGGTCAAGACTTCCTGAGATATTTCAAGATGATTATCATGTACATAAGAATCCTTCCACTTTATTTCGCCAGGTGAATCGCCTTGAGATAGATAACAAACTATCCATTGAATAAAAACGCTCAATTTGTATTTTTGAGGGCTACGATTGACAGCTGACGATTGAAATTCACGTGAAAATTCAATCGACAAATTCTGTTATTTTTGACGGTATCTGTCGATGCAATTTTCATTATTAAAACCATGTCCATGAATAACTTGAATTAATTGAAATAATTGAATCGATGAGAAGAGGAGGGAAATGATCAGTGAGGGATAAATCGCCTTTTCGACGGATTATCGATACAAAAATTCAGCCTTGATCTTGTTATTTTGCTACTTTTATAACAGCAAATAAATAAGTAAAATAAGGGACATTGATTGGTAGAGGCGTCGTTTTAATAGTTCGACTACCGAATTTATTATTCGACTAATGGAATTCACTTGAGCACTAGTCAGCAGTTAATTAATAGACAGATTGACGTAGTCTAGTTGCTGGTGCTCCACGATGATTAATTAATAATGAATAATTCATGTAAATTGTCAGGTTTAGAGAGTCACTGGGTAGAAAATTTTCTTTGTGAAGTGATTAATAAATAATTGTGTGATTGATTATCAATGTTCATGCTTTTTACGAATAAAACGATGAGGACAGAAGGAGATATTTTTGCCCTCATCGAGTACAAAATCAGGGGAATTTGAATAATAAAAAAAAAATACCACGTGTATTTTAAATATTTATTCCTTTTTTCTCCTTCAATGGACAAGTTCATTTTTTTGCCATTTTTCATTGTTTTTTTTTATTATAAGATAACATTAACCTAAGCATTGTCGCGGGTCTCACGCCCTGCCGTACCTAAATTATCATTTTCCTCTTCTTCGTGTTTCATTTATTTTTTCTCGCTTTATATAACATTCCCTCGTGTCGATTGCTCCGCTGATCAGTTTTTGTCAGATTTTACGCAATTATCTCTTTTTCGTTTCCTTTTTCCTCGTCATATGCGTTCATTCGATCCACTCACCCTTGCATTCTTCATTCTTCCATTCACCTCCTGCATTTTTTTAAATTTTCATTTCTTTTTTTTTTATCATTGGGGAGTTCTTCTCACGTCGTCGGTGGCTAATACCAATTGATTTCGAAACAATTTTATGTACAAACGCCTGATTAACAAATCATCATTTATTGTGAAATTGTGGAAAATTCATTCGAACCCTAGAAATTGTACAATTATGTGGAAGACGCTAATTAGAAACAGTAACAATGGCTTTTCACTAATTCAAAAACTACTCGTGTATAAAACAGGATCAACCCGGTGAAATTTACAAAATTTCATGTTCAGCATGAAAAAAAAAATATCTCCACCGACGAACCCTGAACATGTCAAAGTACTGACGGAAAATAGAAGAAAAAAAAAGGAGAAGAAAAAAATAAATTGGTAAAACGAAGGGTTCAGGATTTGTCTCTGATTGCTGAAGAAGAAGTCAAGTGCGTGTTCTTCGTGAATTTGATCGAGAAAAATGAATGATCAATCATGTCAAGCTCTGAAGAAGTCCCCATGGTCGAAAAGGTTTATTTATTTTTTTTTTGTTTTTTTTTTTTTTTTTTCTTTTTTTTTTTGTTTGTTTATCCCCCATTATCTTTACTTTATTGAAATTGGTCTCACGTATTTCATTGCGTGGGATATTGTGGCATGGTGTAGGCCACCATTGTTGGTTGTTGACCAGGTTGAATGGGAGCTGATCCTGCCTGTGGTGAGGCTGTTGCTTGACCTGGCTGCCAAGTACCACCAGCTGGTGTTTGCATCCTCATTCCTGCATTCATGTACGGCGCCTGTTGGCCATAGTACTGGCCATAGTACTGAGGCTGGAGGAATTGTCCTTGCATGTGGGGATATCCCGGTGGATACCAGTACATCTGCTGTCCATATCCATACGAGTACTGTCCCGCGCCACATGTCACCTGTCATCAATTCAAATTAGTATACGTCAAAATTGTTTCAATTACCCCGATAAATTGACGATCCACTCTCCATCAAAAGTTTCATAACGTCAGTTGAATTATTTGAATTTTCGACACACGAATTAACTATACCGTTAACTCAGACGTTTGGAAACAACTGCAGTTGCGAGTTTAATTGAGTTTTTGGGGGGCGAGGGTTGTTTGATAAAAGGGGGAGGAGGAAGAGAAAGGGGGGAGATTAAAATGAATTGTGCGATGAATTTCGCATGGGCACAAGTAAAACAACTTGAATTAATAGAATGTCAGAGTTGAAGGGTCGATCAATCATTGATTTGAAAATATTTTTACCTGCTGAGTTTGTTGATTGGCATTGGGTCCAACGCTGTTAGGATCTCCATTCTCCTTTCCCCAAAAACACTTGACAATACTACCATTTATTTCTGTGTTGTGGGTAACCTCGATGGCGCGTGTCGCTGCCTCTTTAGTCGTGAATTTAATAAAAGCGTAACCCTTATCCTTGAATACTCTAACATCCTGGATTACACCGAATTGTGAGAATGTATTGTTTATTAATTCATCCGTTATGCCATTTGTAAAGCCACCGCAGTAGACTGTGCAATTGGTTGGACTACTCTGGGCGTACACCTGTTGAGAATTATTAAAACTTCAATTAACAAAATATTTAATCAATAAACTAACGCCAAATAATCTGTACCGAAAGGAGATAGCGAAATGTTGATTGGACCTTTTTTTTTGAGAATTTCAAGAGCTCCAAAAAACATTCCACACAAAATTCTCCATTTCCTCTAGATTCAAAGGTACTCCTAAAAAACCCTAGACTCAATACAGTAACACAATTAAACTTGGATGGGTTTTCGAGGAATATCTCGGAATCCAATCCAAATACAGAAATTAGAGTAATAACCATTTTTGTAGCTCTCAAAAATCTGGATAAAAAAAGATTGAGTGAAAAATTTCACTGTACCCCATATAAAGGCATGAATAATGAAATAAGGTATAAATTACCTCCTCGTAGTTTTGCTTGGTGTTATTAGCATGCCTAGGTCTCTCACTCCTCGGTGGTGGTGGTTTTCTCGTCGACCAATTTGTCCTGATGCTGCGTGATCCCAACCACTGTCCATTCATAGCAGATATAGCTGCCTCAGCCTCGGATTTTTTAACAAACGACACAAACGCGTATCCCTTACTCTTAAGTGTCTGTGCATCACGTACAATACGACAATTACTTATCTCGCCAAATGGTGCAAATGCCTCCTTGAGTGTCTGTGTCTCAATCTCAGGTGACAAATCACCGACAAATATGTGATGATGATTGCTTGTGTCAAGTTTTGGCTGATTACCGGGACTAGTTGCCCAGTTAACCTTCATCTCTTTCTCGAGGAACAGTCTCCTATTCATGGCGGCAAGTGCCGTTGCTGCACACTGATGATTAGTAAATTCAACGAAGGCATATGGATCATTACCAGGCTCACGTATTATTTTACATCCTTTTATAGCACCTATTTGACAGAATAGAGTGCACAGTAATTCCTCGTGCACTGATATATCTAGATTACCCACGTATAGGGTACGGGGAGTACTCTCTTCGCTCATTTTCAACCACCTTTTATTCCACGATTACTCAATGGCTTAACACTGAAAAATAATAATTCTCGTTTTCACCGTTTGACCCGTTGCCTCACCTTCCTCTTCCCTATCGATATTATTTAATCACAAACTCCTCACCGTCAGTTAATCCCCTATTTTCCACTCTACACAACACAAAATGGAGTTTTAGATTTTAGCTTGAGCTTTTTTTTCCCCTCTCTCTCTCTCTCTGTCTTTTTCTCGCAATTTCCAGCGACCGTCGCGTGTCCCCTTGGATTTCCTTTTTCCTCCACACGCACTCTTTCTCTCCTTTTTCTCTCTGTCTATCACTCTCGTTTTTTTTTTTTAAAACTCTTTCTCTCTCTCTTTAGGGCTCACAAGTCCCCCCGCCCCGGTGTGAAAAACCCGATGGCTTTTGTGGCCTTTTTAACTTTGTCGATTCGGAAAATTTATTTATGGGTGAATATCCGTATTTTCACCAGCACCCGACATCAGAGATTGAATTTCACGTTAATTTGAGGACATTTGGGGTCAATCAACACCAATAGATCGGGATTATTCGTCGTTAATTTTTGAGGTACGAGTGGAATTATTCGGGAATTTAGTACACACACCCAATGGGGCTACGTCATTACTCAAGAGTTAGACGTAAAATGGCGGATTTCGGTGAGGGCATGGCGCGCTGCAACTGCCACTTTGCAGTTTTGGGTTTTTTTTTTTTTCTCCATGAAAAAATTATGGCATTTGGAAATTTGGGGGATTTTAGTTTTCGGTGGCTGTCGGGGGTTTTCGGGTGGTTTATTTGATGAGGTTTTTTGGCGGGCTGTCGCCGGTTTTTTAAAATTCCATTTATTTTAACACACGTGTCTTTTCGGAGTAGCGGTTTTTAAATTCAAGGGATGAAATTCCCCATTTTGGGGTGGGATGTGGGGATGTTGGGGTGGTTGTCGTGGGGGAGGGAGTGGGTGGGGTTTAGGGTTTTTCATGGGGTTTCATGGGGTTTTTTGGTGTTTTTGAGACGACTTTTGGAGTTTTGGATTTTTTGGGGGGATTTCTAGGGTTTTTGGGGGTGAATGGCGGTAGTGGAGGTACTGTTTCATCGTCTGAGGGTTTTAGTTACAATTTAGGGCGGTAGATGGATCGCGAGGTAAAATTTGGTGCATTTTGTGTGCATAATTCCGTAAACATTGGATAGAAATATTGTTGGAACAGTTGGGGTAATGAATTAATCAAAGATTCGTGATTTTTGAGAATATGGAAGACTGAGGACGCGTTTGAGAGTCTCGGGACACCAACGTCTGTTTAATTTTCATTCAATTACATTATTGTTTTGACGTTTCGGGGAAAAATGCTCTCACGTAAGAATAAGGATTTGCGGACAATTAAGGAAGGTGTAGTTGGGAAATATGTCAAGAAAGAAACACCACCGGAAATTCCAAGTTAGTGGTTAAGTCTCGTCTTATTATTTGAATTTTAAGTTGAATTTTTGATTCTGGGAATTGTTATTTTTAGTTATCAATGTCTGGACGACTGAGCCCAACAGACATAAGAGGAGGAGAAATAATCAGGCGACAATGCCCCCTCAAATGGTGACCTATTAATTTCTCCACAATTCCTATCCTCTCGAGTTTGAAATTAATTAAAAAAACAATTCGTCTCTAGCCATCACCCCAACAGCCGAGTATGGTGCAAAAATTTGGCAACACCAAAACAACAATGAGTGCAGTGGGTTTAGGAAGTCATGAGGGAAAATATACACCTAACAGTTCAGTCCCTGATTTAGCTCAGAGGTGAACGATCTATTTTTTCTGTCAATTAAAATTTCGATAGTGTATTCAAATAAAAATTAATTATTCTCCCTTTCTAATTCACTGGTTAAAATTAATTTCAGATTCGCGAGTTTATCGATGGCCCCAGGAGTCTCGGAATCCCTGGGTTCGCGTACAGTGACACCCCTGTACCTTCCAGGTCTGTCTCCAGCTGCCTCCCACACATACGTCAACCAGTACGCGGGTTCAGAGTATCACCTGGACCGTGTTCAGACCCCCCAGATGCCATACGTGCCTTTTGACACAGACAATGGTTACGAGGACTTCAATCAGCCATTCAGGCACCCCCAGTACAGCAGATCGCAGTCGGAGAGGGCGAGTTCTCGCAGTGAGCAACCCACAGAGCTGCCACTACCTCCAGGATGGTCTGTCGATTTCACCCTGAGGGGTAGAAAATACTACATCGATCATAACACCAAGACAACCCACTGGTCCCATCCTCTTGAGAAGGAGGGGCTTCCCACTGGATGGGAAAGGATCGAATCACCTGAGTATGGAGTTTATTACGTCAAGTATGTGATTTAATTGTCTCATAAGAGTAATTATGATTATTGTAGACAATTAATGAATTATTAATTGAATTTTTCAGTCACATAACGCGACAGGCTCAGTACGAACATCCCTGTTATCCCCTAGAAATGCAGGCAGTCCGAGTGGTATCACCTCCTCGACACACTCATTTCCACTCTCACAGTGTTCTCGTTCCCGCAAATCCTTATCTCAACGAGGAAATTCCCCACTGGCTCTACGTCTACTCCAGGGCATCAGTGGCACTCGACAGAAAACTCCGTTGGGAGCTGTTTCGTCTCCCTGAGCTCGACTGCTTCAATGCAATGCTCACTAGACTCTATAAACAAGAACTGCAGGAAGTGGTGATGCGATACGAGGAGTACAGGTAATCCTCGAATTTATTATCCTATTAATTAATTAGTTAATTGGTTTTTTATTGGTGATTTCAGGTCGGCCCTTTTATGCGAAATGGAGCAGAGATTGAAGGAGCTTAATCCAGAGAGTGGTACCTCTGGTGCTGTTGCTCTTCGTCGATCCTTACCGTGAATTAAGGAACAGAATGAGAGATATTTTTGTAAAGTATATTTACAATCGTTGAGACACTGAAGTATTACAAATAAAGGATTTTGTCAGTTTGAGAGTAATTATGTAGCACTAGCTCCGGTGGAGTCGTCGTCAAGGAGCTCGGAGGGGTGTGGTATCAGCTTTGGAGTTCCTTCGATCTAGAAAAAAAATGAGGAATTCACAGCGAATTTGTAAGTTGAAAAAGTAAGTACAATTTGTTATTTCATTACAATTTAATTTTTTACGTACTTCATATTTTTCGATGACTTTAAATCCATCGACTCTGTAAACAGTGATATCGTCTCCCTGCCACAACCTTGCATAATATCGCCCCTGTTGTTTTTTTTCTTTGGCAGTCATGGGATAGTAATTGTAAACAAGAAGTACCATAAATATTCCGAAGGCATTATAAACAGCAAAACCATATAGGGTACTCAATTTAAGTTTCATCTGAGCTGCGTATTTACTCTCCATGGGATTCGTCTTGATCCTGACGAAATTTCTCAGCCACCTTCTCATTTTGCTATTTTATAACGACAAACCTAACCAAAACAAATTCTTGTACTCCCACTTTTCTCGTTTCCTTTCACAATTCTCTGACGCATCCAATGAAAAACTCGATTTTCAAATGATTATAAAAAAAACATTCCCGCGATAATTTATTCACGAATCAACCCAAAAAAATTTCGATAATTATAAAATCACGGGAGAAACTTGTTTGACTCTCTCAAAGCCACTGACACTGTTGCCACATCTTCGAATCTAACCTGCAGTACAATTCCGGATTGAATCTCAAATATCTAAAAATAGGCAGAGTGAAATTTTCAATATTATCTCTCATTTTAACGGTATTCCCCAAGGCTTAAAAATGAGATAAAAATTTTTTAAATTCCATCTGTCACTCCTGTAATATCGAGGACTAACTAATTGATAGGATTAGTCTCATTGTCTGGAGCTCAGGAACGTCAAAAATTCTGGGGAATAAATTTTGTATTTTTATTTTTCCCAAATTCCTCCGATGGTTCCAGTGTTCCAGAGGTTCTGGAGAGTTCCATCGGGGAATTTTGAGAGTGAGTCCTGGGAAAAATTGGGACGACAGATGGAAGTTAAATTTTTTTTAGTGATTTAACGGGTGATTAATTGGGGGGGTAATTACCCGAGGGATTGTTACGGCATTGAATAGTCGGTAAGTAGTTGGGGATTGGCCGAAATGCTTCCAGCGATAAAACGCTATTGGGGTGGGGGTAGGGGACGTCTGGCAATCGAATAAAAGGTGGAAGGAGTGATTTCGCGCGTTGACCGGGTTGCAATAAAAAAAAAATCACATATATATATATATATATATATCGAAAAAAAATACGGATTTGCGGGATTTTGGCCAGTGGGAAATAGACGTTTCACTCGTGCACCAGAGGTTCATCCGTCCAATATTTTAAGATCGCGGTGCGACATGTCCGTGATGGGGAAGGTAAGTACAATCTCTAGGGGTTTCATTACACCTTTTTTTCGGGGGTTGTATGGCCGCCTGCCCGGCAACTCTATTACTCCACAATTTTTTTCATCCGGAAGTGCCAAACCATTTGTTTTGAATTTAATTCTAGATATTTGAGGGGAGAACTGGTTTTGTATTATTGTTATCGAGACCTTGATATTAGAATATGGAGTAAATACCGATAAATCTGGCAGTGTGGGATTTTCCATTGTAAATTGACATTATTTTCGTTCATTCTCTACGTACTATTGTTTTTACTCCAGAATTTGTTATAAAAAATCTGGAGAAGGAATAATTCGAATGAAATAATTGTGGTAAATAATTGTGGTGTTTATTAGTTTTGGGATTTGAGTGAGGAGATAAAGATGTGTAATTAATGCATTTTCTTTTTTTTTTTTATTCATAGCCGGTTTTATACTCATACTGGAGGAGCTCCTGTTCGTGGAGAGTGCGAATTGCTTTGAACCTGAAGGAGATACCCTACGACATAAAACCAGTGAGTCTGGTGAAATCAGGTGGTGAACAGCACTGCAACGAGTACCGTGAGGTGAATCCGATGGAGCAGGTGCCAGCATTGCACATCGACAATCACACGCTTATCGAATCCTTGAACATAATGCAATATCTCGAGGAGACGAGACCCCACCGGCCCCTCCTGCCCGCTGATCCAGTCAAGAGAGCACGAGTTCGAGAGATATGCGAAGTGATATCCAGTGGAATTCAACCTCTCCAGAATCTTGTTGTTCTCATCTACGTGGGTGAGGAGAGAAAGAAAGAGTGGGCACAGCACTGGATCACCAGAGGTTTCACTGCTGTTGAAAAATTACTCTCATCGAGTGCTGGAAAGTACTGCGTTGGAGATGACATCACCATCGCTGACTGCTGTCTCGTACCCCAGATATTCAACGCCAGGAGATTTCACGTCGATCTCAGACCATTTCCAACTATTCTCAGGGTCGATCGCCATCTCGAGAATCATCCAGCTTTCACCGCTGCTCATCCCAATAATCAGCCTGACTGCCCTCCAGAGGCTACCAAGTAGCAAGCAAGGCAGACCACTCTCTTCCTGTTCTAAAGGCTTTTGAATTGGAGGTGAGTGGTCGTCGTCCAGGGATCACCGAGAGGAATTTTATTTCATTCTTCAATATTTCGGAGACTGTAAGCATTTTATATTTTTTTTATTCGACAGATTAATAACTGGACAAACAAAATCTGTCGTTTAGGGGAAGGGGAGGCTAATTGGACCGTGTGGGTGAAATGAACCTCCTTTTCTCATTTTCCTCCCCTCCCTTAATTCAAATATAAAGTGTCTGTTTTTTTACTCGACTTTGGGAGAATAAAATATTGAGGTCCGTTATTAAACTGTCGATTTTATGAATTTAAAATTTTATGCGCATATTCTCGTGCAATTTTTGGATGAAAAAAAATACATCCCTCTCTCTCGTTATCTCTGGAGAACTAATCGAGCTCAGAGCAATTGAAATAATGACCCCGAAGTGATGATTTCAATTGTTTTAGCTGACATTCAAGTGATAGAAATGTTGGCCTATTTTTTAATTTACTCCATTCACGTCTTATCTTCTTTATTTCAATTCCAGAGAATAAATGAACAATATTTTTTAAATATTTACCGTGCCACCTATTTGAAATAGGGTATGTTGTCTGAAGTGCAGAGTTTAGTTTTTATATGATCTTATTTTTGAGATTTTATTTGTTTTAAATCATGAATCGATGCAGGCTGCTCAATCCATGTCCTGATACACTCGGGACATGGGAAAGTACAAAGATCTTCCTTTTTTTCATTCCAATTAAATATTTTGAATTTATTGATTTTCCACTTGTCTCAGAGTAACTGCCAGACTAGATAAGTCCCCATTAATTGCACAAACGAATTATTTCTCGTGATTGAACGAGTAAATCGTCGCAGATCGAGAGAGTTTCTTTGAATAATCAAAACGTACAAACATTACGTTGCTAACTGTAAATAACAAACAAAAATTACAAATAACAGCAGAACTGATCAAATTCTAGATGCAGTTGATCCCCAAAGGATTTCCAAGAGGAAAATAAACCAAATCGATAATAATTGAATATTGGATCAGTGATTAGCGTTCTCTTCGTAATTAAAGATATGCAGATACTTGGGAAATATTAATAAGAAAGGGATCCCTTGAGATTCATGAAAAATAACAGACCAGATGAATTATTTTCATTGTGCGTGCTCGGGCTAGAGTCTATTAGGAGCATTAAACTCGCAAATCGTAGGAATAATCCCCCCAGAGTGTGTACGACTATAAAAAACGATCTTAAGCCTGTAAAAATATATGAGTGACCAATACTCACGATATGAACTAAGAAAATGAATATTTTGTAAGTGAAAAATAATGTGTAACTCGATGCTTATAGAGGAGGAAACAATAAATTATGTGTCATAGAAAATAAAATTCCTTTATTCCACTAAGCGTGTTTTTTATTTATTAATACCAAACCTACCTTTAATAGTAATACCTAATCAAGCCTTAATGCGCAAAATCAAGCCTTAATGTCGTAAAATCAAGCCTTAATGCGTAAAAACAAGCCTTAATGCGCAAAAACAAGCCTTAATGTCGTAAAAACAAGCCTTAATA